AAAACAATTGCACCCTTTGCAAGGCTGTCTGGTGACCTTCCTTCTCCAGGTCCCTATCTCAGTGTCACATGGGGGACACAGACGCCCTTTTCCATATGCAGCGTGGTCTTCCTCCAGGGGATGCTTGGTGGGCCAGTCTGTCCCCATGTCCCTGGAGCGTGGAGGCCCTGGCCGGGAAATGGGAAAGAGCGAGCACCTCTTACATTGTTCCTCTCTTTCTCTTTCAAGGTTACCCGGGATTACAAGGCCAGCCGGGCCCCCCAGGTAAGTCCTTCCCTGCCTGTCTGTGGCCCAGGTGTGTGCCTCCTCTGTGGTTTGCGGTGTACATGCCTATCATACACCTTAGATGTGTGCGTAGAACATGTAGCAATGTTCATACATGGTTTTCTATCTTGAAAACAGAATGTGCTGCTAGATAAGTGTTTGCAGATTGGCATGTGGTTCATAGATGTGCATGCCATGCAGGGGACTCCTGTGTGTCCCTGGAGACCCTGGCCTCCCTCTCACTCTGCTCTGAGGCAGGCCTTCCCACCTGGTCCCTGCTCCCATGGACATCCCTCGCTCACCAGGGCCCTGGTTCCAGCAGGTCACACCTCTTTCGGAGCACTTTGCTCCCCTTCCTCTCTCTGGAACTCGTCACTTGGAGACCAGGGCAGGGTGGCCCATCCAGTGCTCTCGTTGCCTGTCTTGCAGTCCCCGAGTTCCTCCAAGCTCTTTCCTGCATGCCAGGTTGCGAGTCCCAGGCAACTGTACTTTCCTCCAGCAGGTGCTGGTCCAGGCGCGTGCTCACATGAGCGGCCCTGAGCAGGGACCCCAGTGTCTGAGGGGCAGTCCCCTGCCCTGCAGTTCCTGCCTGCTGAGGCTCATGGCCTGGATGCTCTGCTCCGTTGGCTCTTGGTTTATTCTTATCCTCCGTGTTAGTCACTTCATTTCCCCCTCTGGCAGTTCTCAGTTCTTGCAGGGTCCCCTTTTCCTCTGTGGGAACAATGGCCTCCTGGCTCCAGGGCCTTCACCTCCCTAGGGACACTGTGCGTCTCCTTAGCACCTTGGCTTCCCTCTGTGTGCAGCCACTGTCTTCATTTGACCCGGGAACCCGCCCCTTCCTGTGTGGTGCTTGCTCTTCAGGTCCTGTTCATCTCTTGACCAGAACTTTTGAAAACATTTGCTGAAATCGCTCTGCCTGGAGATGCATTATCCACCCTCCCAGCCACCGCCCTCCCCTCACCGCAGCACCCGCTGGCCTTGGACACTGTGGGTTGCTGTCACACCCCGTTACTGACCTCCCTTGCACCCCGATTTCCATCTGGCTGAGCACTGGTTTCCCTTTCTTGAGAGCTGCTTCCTCCAGCTAGGGCACTGGCCACTGGGCTCAGACCCCATGGCCTCTGTCCTTCCAGCTCTCCCACTATGGGTCTTCTCACCGTGCTGAAGTCCACCATGGTAGGACCGCTTCCCCTTCCCAGCCCACCTGCCTCTGCTCGGTCCTGTGCTCATGCCGAGTTTCCCTCTGCTCCAGATACCAGCTCTTTCCCCACCAGGACAGTTGGGTCTCAACATTGGTGGCCTCCTGGGCCTCAGTTCCCTCCAGCCTCCTGTGGCAGCCTTCTTGACCTCCACAGGCTGGTGCACCCCACCCTCACACTGCAGTGGTGCCTGAACTTGACTTGGCACATTCAGATCACCTCGCCACTTTGGCTTTGAACCTCTTGTGGAGCCAGAGGAAGTTACTTGTCTTTAACTGTCAATCCAGCTGCTGTCCCCTTGGTCTCTGTCCATTTCTTTGATTGATGGCATTTTAGGCACTTTTCCATATAGAGCTGGGAATGCTTTTTGCATGAAGGAAACTTGCAGGTTTTACCTCCGGGTACCGAGTCCTTTTCCTAGGGTTAAGTGGGCTGTCCGCGTCTGCGGAAGGCATCCCGCCAGCTCATTGGCTCTGCTTGTCTAGAGCAGCTCCCCTCTCAGTGATGTGCAGTGTCCTTTGACCTTGGACGTATTGAGGAAGCCGTGTGTGCAGGGGTGTGGGACGCCCTGCGACAGCTTACACGCGATTCTGTGCTGGTTTCAGGCTTCCCTGTATCTGGACAGCCTGGTGCTCCCGGCTTCCCCGGAGAAAGAGGAGAAAAAGGAGACCAAGGATATCCAGGAACATCTTTGCCAGGGCTGAGCGGAAAGGATGGAGTCCCAGGCCCCCCAGGTCTCCCTGGACCCCCTGGGCAGCCAGGACACACAAGTAAGTTCCCTCAGGGAAGGGGTCACTCATGTCCAGCCAGTTACCAGGAGGCCAGGCAGGCACCGTGACTGCTCCCAGAGCTGGAGTGTCAGGCCAGGGCTCCGGTGACCAACCATGGCTTAATTATTGATTCTCCACTTAGACAGCTTTGGGGATTGACCCTGCTACCAAAAGGAATTGTTAAAATAAAAAATAAAAATGGCTAAAAGGAATAAGGAGCATGTTAACCAGCTGCAAGTCTCCTGGCACCCAAGGTTAACCAGTTAATTGGTGGGGTTTTCATTGAGAGCCGAGTGTGTCGTCCTTGGTCTAGAGATAGCGAACACAGTGCTAGTAAGACACACCAAAACCAAGGAAGAAGGGGTTGCAGGTTTATACTGATTGCACGAGAGTGTGTCGTAATGTAACCAAAGACTTCAAGTTGGGGCATGATGTGGATTTTTCTTATATCAGCCTCTGGAAGAACTGAGCACGTAGCCATAACCTCTTAGTTCTGTCCTGGTGGCCCTGTGATCTCAATGTGATATCAGAGCAAATGATGAGAGGACGTTAGGTAAACCAGGCCAGTGGGAAGTTTCATGTTTCCGGAGCAGCCCTTGGTTCTACGGGGTCAGAATCAGCAAGCTCTCTGTGGAGCCCAGGAGTACTGACCCTCTGTGAGCTGGAGGCTCCTGGGCTCTGATACCAGTGAGATCCACTTGTTGGAATTCAGACCTGGGCTCGTGAAAGAAAAGGCGTTCCGTGGACGAGGTGCTGAAGGATGGCGAGGGCTGGTGCAGCAACTGGCCCAGCAGGCGCCTTTGCTGGGAAGGGATCTGTATGACCTCAGGTGGGAAGATGGATGGGACGCGTGAGGCTATAGGGACTTTTTCCTCTTCTCTCATGATTTTGTAAAATGTGAATGAGGTTGAATAAGGAAGTCCCAGAGACATGCAACCAGAGTCCAACTTTTTCTCTGCAACTGAGAAGGGCCTTTGGGGTCCTTGTTCAGCGAGGGCTGGGAAGCCTGTGAGGTGGTAGGCTTGGGCTGGGAGCAGGGTCAGGACATAGCCCTGTTCCCTGGAGCAGGACTCTGTGGGGAAGACCAGGTAAATACAAAGAGGGAAACACGTGGAATGTAGGCGTTGTTGTGCACAGGGGTCCACGTTAGCCCTCAGGGCCGTGAGGAGTTCTGGGGCTTTTAAAGAGTGATGTGGAGGTGATGGGGCAGCCATGGGGGGAATTAGAACAGTTTTGGGATATTTATAATTTGTAAGTTCTAAAATATGCACAAATTTCATATAAAATTATGATCCTTCCATTCCTGTGACCAAGCGACAAGGATGTGTCAGCTTAATAGCTCCTGCCAGGTTTTCTAGTTGGCCCTCTGTAGTCAGTGCAAATGGAGCAATTCCCAGTTACGGCATATTTAGTGATAACTCCCAAACGAGAGATTTATTCAGATTTATCGTGTATGTGAAAGAGGCTACATCTGAAAACCACTGCTGACTTGGGACTTATCAGTAGCTCATTAACCGTGCAGCGTCAGAGTTCCACAGCCCAGTTCTGCTGCTGCATTCTCCCAGATGGTCCTGGCACCTGCAGATGCCTGCCGTGAGCAGCAGCATCACGAGGACTCTAGACTTGCATTTTCAGAACTCCCCAGAAATAATCACTATATTCTTGCATTAGACTTACAGCTATTTTAAATTGACCATGGTGAGGAGGTATCATGGCTTTTTTTTTTTTTTTTTTTAACCAGCAGTATGCAGGAACGCTGGTTGAGTTGAGGCAGGCAGGAAACGTCTTCAGGAAAGGGACTGTGTTACTACTCACGAGCCTTTGTCTCCAGAATCAGGGAGCTGATGTACCCCAGGCTTGTGGGGCTGGGAATTGTGGTTTTCTTTTTGGAGTCAGTAACTTTAGGACTGCTCTTGGAACCATAGAGCAGAGTCCCCTCAACGAAGATGGAGTCCCCAGGGCAGGGTTGATAGAGTGGAGCAGGGCTACAGATGCCACAGCTCAGGCTTCCTTGCCCCCTGTGCTTGGGGGAGAAGCTCACAGAAGAACAAATCAGCAACCTGCAAAGCAAAAAGGTTTCCTCTTGGAATTGAATATGAACAAAGAATCAGAGGCATTTCCCTATGGACAGTCTATGTCTCTAAAATAACCTCCCAGCCTCAGCTCTTCCCCATCTGAAACGGCCTTGTTCAGTGGAGCTCTGGGGGGTGTGGCTGTGTTTCAGGGAGTCCTTTCTAGCTGGGTGGGGACCTGCACGGTTGACCCTGGACAACACACCAAGTTAGAAGCAGGACTCACCCCAGACCCCGGGCCCCAGCCCTTCCACTGCAGGGGGTCAGGTCTAGATGTCAAAATCTCTGCCCTTGACCTCTTCTCCATCAGACAGTGTGGAGGGGCGGGAGGGCTTCTGGTGTTTGCACTCTGGCCATGAGGAGTGCCTGGGAAAGATGCTAGCTATAATTGTTCAGGCTGTCATTCTTGTTCAAAGATACTGAGGAAGGAAAGGCAAACTCCATTGCACTGCAGATCTAAACTATAAGACAATACTTCCGTGTTACCAGAGCCCATGGCAGATGGTGTTTGCATTACTGTAATTTATTATCATGCCTCTCTGCATAAATGATGCTCAGATTTGAATATGAACAAAGAATCAGAGGCATTTCCCCATGGATCACCTGTGTCTCTAAAATAACCATGACTTGTTGTAAGTTTGCCTAAGGAGAAAATAAGGTTGTCCTAGTCTCGGGGCTGACTTAGATGTCCATGGACAAATCACTTAACTTGCTTGAGACTCCGTTTCTTAATCTGTAAAATAAGGATGATGGGATGGACTTTGCAAGGGAAAAGTGAGTTGAAGAAGAGGAGATGGCCAGTGAGGTGAGATAGGCATTACAATCTGGGAAGCAGTTGCCCCGGAGGCGAGTGGACAGTGTGTGCTGGTCCTGTTTGGCAAGTTAATATCCTAGGCTTGATTTGAAGCTGGATTTGAAAGCTGAATTTCTAAAGCTGAGCAATTAGCCTAAAATGTTTTGGTTTTATAACAGATTGAATTAAGAGAGAGAGTAAACATTCCTAGCCACAGTCCTCTAATGTTTACTAATCAATTTCAGATGGCATCGTGGAATGTCAGCCTGGACCACCTGGTGATCAGGGTCCTCCTGGGACTCCAGGGCAGCCAGGGTTGACAGGAGAGGTGGGAGAAAAAGGTAAGAGTTGTTGTTTTTTTTTTTAATTTAAACTTTTTTTTAGGTGTTTTCATTAGTGTGTTATACTTGTATATACTAATGGGGTTCGTTTTGATGTATTCATAAATACATATAACATAATTTGTTCCCTTTTAATTAAAAAATGATGATTGTGTTTGTGAAGGTGATCCCCCCCACCCCGAGACTTGCTAAGGCATTGGGAGTCAGGGTGCAGGGTAGGCAGATTTGAAACTTCCTGGAAATCCATTCCCACAATAAACATCTTCCTCAACTCAGCTGAGACTGTCGCTGAGATTGTGTTTGTGGGAGATACGTGACCTGGGAGCATAAGGTGGAGCCTTGGCCCCAAAGGTCAGATTATTGTTCTTGACCCTTTCTGTGGCCCAGGAAATCTGTCTTGCCACAATGAGCACTGCCCGTTGATGAGACTCTCAAACTGATACCGTAATCTCTCAGTTCAAAGTTTGAGAGTTTCGTTTTTTCCAAGGATGCACATATTTCCTGTAATCCCAGTGACAGATCTTTTCAGGGAATGCTCAGCCCCCACGAGCCGCCTTTGTGTAAGATCAGTGTGAGCGCATCTGCTGTTGATGGACTAACTGCCCTTCCTCGATACTCTTGGCTGTTAATTTTATCTTTAGCCCTTTCAAGGGTCCGCTGTAACGTCAACACAGGATATGTATTTATCTTAAGAAATCTGGAGAACAGGGGTGGATTGTCCCAGCATTGATGGTCCGGTCTTTAAGTGGAATAAACAATGGCATTCCGATGTTTATATGCCTATTAACCCACAAGCAGAACAGGAGGCTGCCTTGTAAAATCCACCCTCGTGGGTACCACTTCTGGCTTTGGATTGTAAAGAATTTTTGGTCTTCAAAAGCCTAAAGCATAACACTGCATGGGAACAGCTAGCTGCAGTGTGCACCGTGGGATCCTGGTGGCTCCTAGGTTGCAGAGCCTGCAGGGACGTGATCTTAGAAGTCTGCAGGGGCATGAGTTAGAATCTGCTTGTCATTCCCTTTTGGGGGGGCCCTCTCATGGCCAGGTGTTCACTACTCTCTGAGGTGTGCAGTTCCATTTTAGGACACCCAGTGGCCAGAGCTCTTTATCCGGTGACCGTATTCGTCCTTCCCTGATGGAGGGCGTCTTTCTGCCCAGGTCTGTGTGCTCTGGTGCAGCACTGTTGCCTGCCCCACCTCCAGCCGTAGGAGCAGGGATGCCCACAGAGTCCCACAGCTGGCTGCCTGGTGTCCAGCCCACGATGGGCTCCTGTCCTCTCTCCTGGGAGAACACAGAATGACACCATGTGTGTCCTGCACACTTCAGGGAGATGGGCTGGCCTGGGGCTCCTGTTCCCACATCTTGCACGGGCTTCGGGGATGGGTGGGCTCCAGCCATGCCCAGGGCTGCCCGTCAGGGCGAGGCGGGGGCGATGTGGGTGGGCCTCTTGGTGCTCCCTCGGGTGACGTCTTCCACAGCCCTTGCTCCCTGTCGTGCCTGGAAGCCAGATGTTCCCAGAAGCCAGACAGTGAGGATCTAAGACCCCAGAGGGCCTTTGAACTTAGTTTGCAGATCACCGCTTAAGAGGGTGAGGTTTCAAAGCAGGGCGACCTCTCGCTCTCTGTGCTCCGATCTCTCCTCACGTCCTCGATGTCAGTTCAGTATCCATTCCGGCTTCTGGAGCTGCTTCTTCACAGTGACCCCCTCAATCAGGACACAGTTCAGAAGTCCACGACTTCCCATGTGCAGTAAATCAGAGAGGAAGGGACGGGAAGCCTTGGGACGCGAGATGGAGTCACAGTAGCCGAGTCTTTCCAGGGTGGTAGGCAGGCCCAAGTCCCTGCATGGCTTCTTGGTGCTCAGCTCCTCTCCTTGTGCCTGGAGAAGGACAAGGCTCACTAGACATGCAGCAGGGTCACACGGCGAGTGCTGGGGGCAGTGGGCATTCAGCCGCCCTGGAGGAACCTGTAGACACAGGGTCCCACCACTAGCAGGGAGTGCTAGGGGGCTGCCGCTGACGGGCAGAGCCTGGTGTGACTGTGACACTGTAACAGCCACCTGCCGTTCCCCTCCTCACCCTGCAGGGATTCCTGCTCACATGCCTCTCACAGGTATCTGAACTTCCTTCTAGGTCAGAAAGGAGACAGCTGCCTCATCTGTGACACAGAAGGACTTCGAGGGCCGCCCGGGCCACAGGGTCCCCCAGGAGAAATCGGTAAGGGCCAGGCATGGAAAGGAGCAGGTCAGAACTACCCCCTGTGTGTGGACGCTCTGGGGGACCGCTCCACCAGAGCCCTGCTCTCCTGCAAAGTGGGAGCACAGCAAGGGCAGCGTGAGCCTGCATCCAGGACGGTGCTCAGCCAGCCACCAAGAGGCCTGCCACGGAGGTCCTAGCAGAAGGGACGTGGCACGTGGCTCTCTCACTCTGCACCAAGGTGCACCTCATGTGTCCCTGGGCTGAGGGCAGCGTCACACTGCAGCTCGGGTGGCTCAGGTTCCCCTCTGAGCCCACCTCGGGTGTTTTAATGGTCACTCTCTGGACAGTCTTCAAATGCCCATCCACTTTGTGTCAAGACTTTACACTATTGAACCTCAGGGAAAAGAAGCTCTGAAGAATTGTCTCATGGATGCTGTGCTCTTGTCTTTTTTGAAAGGTTTTCCAGGACAGCCAGGGGCCAAGGGCGACAGAGGTCTACCCGGCAGGGATGGTCTTGAAGGATTGCCTGTGAGTAAACTGAGTTCACACACACTGCAAGTTGCCTCCAGGCAACCAGCTAGGCCACATGTTTCTGCATCTGCCCACGTGGCTCCTGTGCCGGTGGCCATGGGAGGGTCTGGAGTGGCTGTGTGGCCCTCCTCTGCTCTCACATGGAGCCTACGCAGAAGCCTGGGGAGTGTAGAACCACGTCCCCCACTGGCCCCTCATCCCAGCAGAACCCAGCTGTGATCTGGTCCTTCCCACAGGCCTCAGGGTCCTTGAGTCAGATGGCCCCACGACAGAGCTGAGCTTCTGTCTTCTGTGTGACCACTGCTCCTGACACCCCACACATGACCTCAGCTCTCACCAGGGACTCTGTACAGGGACCGAGGAAAACTGGCCATTTGCTCTCTAGAGATTTGAAGTATTTTCATTCTTCCTTTACAGACCTGCATGTTGAGACCTCCTATTACCAACATCTGTTACGTAGATGCTTTTTTTAAAAAAAAGAATTTATAAGGAGACATCTCGATCACATCAACATGAAGCCTTTCAGTTCATCACAGCAGAGCTTAGCCTTTCTAGTTTGTTTTAGAATAAGTTATCACACGGAAGAGAAAAAACGTCATCTCAAACACAGAGGCAGGTTTTATTATGCATATCAGCGCGGCTTCAAGGCCTGCAGATCTCAGGGCTGTGGCCCTTTTGCTTCTTTGGTGCAGCCGGGCTCTGTGGGCATTAGCCAGTTTCGCTCATTCCTTTCATTCCTTTTTTCTTTTTGTTTGAAATTGAGAGTCACATCTCTAGCCTTCTGTCCTCTGATGTAGCTCTTTAAAGTTTTAGTTTTCTTTAGCTAATCCTGGAAGCATCGCGACAGGAAGGCCAGGGCAGAAGTGAGCTGGATCAGGAGAGAAGCAGCTGGAATTGTGCAGTGGCTTCTCCTTTTGAAGTTGGGTCCTGGGCTTCTGCTTTCCAGAATCTCTCTGGTGCCTGGGGAGCTAGCTGAGTTAGAAGTTGCAATTGTTTAAAATATTTCTAAATAAACGAGAAGTTCAAATAGCTGACTGTAGCGGGGATCAAAGTTGGAAGGACTTTGAAGGGAGCAGAAAAGGATCTTTTTAACCTCTGTCCATCTGCCTTTATCTGAGTGGACTTCCTGGTGGGCTTCCTGCCTCGGCCCTGGCTGGAATCCAGGCCAGATGCCCAGCCCCAGCCCTCAAATCTAGCAAAAATGGAAGAAGAGGAAAGAGGGGAGAGAAAAGCGTGGTCCAGAGGTATCAAGGGAAGAAGGGAATAACCAAACCGCAGCAGTGGCTGGGTCCACGCTGCTTCATCAGCAGCCGAAAAGCCCCTAAAAACAGATTCATAAGCAAATAATTTGAAAGATAGTGATTTTCCTCAATTGAGGCTACATCACAGCTCCTTGGTTTAACCAGCTCAAAATTGTGGTCCTCATATTTTGAATTTGGCTGGAGGCTAAAAGTGACCCCCCCCCAGCCCACACCCTGAGGGGGAGACTGCTGTGGACGGGTGCAGTGCCCTGGTTTTTCTTTGGATTTAGTGAGCACTTCTGGGTTGTCGTCTTTTGAAAGCTGGGTGGTTCTGGGAAGGGATGGCGCTCCCCCGAGTGAGCTGAGAAGCCCAGTCCCGGCAGGTTTGTGGTCTCTGGGGTGTCCACTTTCCCCAGTGGCACCCCCCTCTGAGGCAGGAAGCGCAGGGGGGTGCCCATGCGAAGTTAATGAGGCCCATGTGAAGCTTTCAAGGGACCGTTTGATTTCCTAGCATCCATCTGAAGGGATGTGGGTCCAAAAGCCCCGAAACAGTTTGGAAACAAGATGTTCTATGCCTCAAATCACATGAGATGTCCTAGGGTCACCAATGCCACTTTAAAAAAAAAAATTCTACATTTCTCCCTCAATAGAGTGTTGACTGATGATGTCTCTACTAATGGACTAAAAGGCCGGGCTCCTTGCCGGATCACAGGGAGTTTGTGTGTTCAGGCTGTGAATAACCACCCAGGATGGCCTTTGCGGTTGAGTGTCCACTCCCTGCTCTGAGAGGTCACCATGTCAGCATTTTCCACGTTCAGTGTTGGAGACACATGGTGGAAGGTGTCATTTTTAAAACTAGAGGTTGTAAGAGTATCGGTCTGTCCCTGGTCTTCCAACGCCTTTTGTGGAAAGTATACAGAGCGCAGGGTGTGCGCCTGCATGTGATTCACATCAAAGAACCTTCGGGAGTTTTAGAGAAGGAATTAAAGTCAAAGGAATGGTGCGAAGTTGGCAGGCAGCCTACAGGGGTCCTTCTCAGGCCTGAGAGTCGGGACAATGGTGTGAAACCTCTGCCATTGTCCCTGTGAGCCAGGGCTCTGTGGTGGGCGTAGACGTTCTTTGCAGATTCAACTTTCCAGGAACTGAAAATGTTCTGAGGGTGTCTCTGGGGACAGTCTTGGGAAAGTCCAAATAACTTCTTAAAATAACCCATTACAGAGCTGACTTCTCACTTCCCCGTTCCTTCACGGTGCCCTGGCAGGCCTATCTCTTCCGGAATCAGGGTGTGATCCCAAAAGGAAACCTGGGCAATTCTAATAATGCCCAGACAGACAGAACAATGGCTGTCCCCAACCCCGTTGACACTCCAGCCACCGTCTGCCCCCAGAAGCTGTGGCTCTAGTTTGGGGGTTCAGGAACCACATAGAGATGCCTCCAACAGTTGCTAAAACATCGTCATGAAGGATTGACAGTCATAAGGGAAAAGAAAGTCACGCCAGGACGTTCCCAGAGCTGGGTGCCAGTGACACGCCCTGTCCCACCTTGTCCCTGCTTGGAATGCCCAAGACACTGATGGGTTTTAGGAAAACTGCAAAAGTGGGTCAGACCAGGGATCTGTTGAGGAGCTGCTGGCTGCCTTCTGGAGTGTGGGTGGCAAGAGCTAGGTGGGTGACAGTTTTCCATAAAGGTGGCTGGCGGAGGTTGGGTGCCCTGGGGCGGGTTCTCGAGTGGCATCACGGCTTTGTTCTCCTAGGGGCCTCAAGGTGCACCAGGGCTGATGGGCCCGCCCGGCGCCAAGGGAGAGCCTGGCGAGATTTACTTCGACATGCGACTCAAAGGCGACAAAGGAGACCCCGGCTTCCCAGGACAGCCCGGCATGCCAGGGAGAGCAGGGTCCCCTGGGAGAGACGGCCATCCAGGTCTTCCAGGCCCCAAGGGTTCCCCGGTACGTTTACTTCCTGACTCTGACGCGCATTTCCCGGTAGGGATCTGAGAACGGAGACGTGATGAGTGAGGTCTCGCTGCGTGGTGTCTTCGGGTGGTGACTGGTGGGTGTGGGTTTATTTCAAGGCTCCCGAACCAGCTAAGTGGGTAAACTGGGGGTCGATGGTGTCCCACTGACTGACCAGGTGTGACCGAGGAGTCTCTTCTGACTTTTGGGGGACTGAGTAAATGTGTTTTGCCGTCTTTTGGTCTTTGATGGAGGCTCATTTAAAGTTCACCGAGTTCACACTGTCATTCGACAGAGGATGGCGGCGTGGCTCTCTTGCCCTGCCAGTGTCTCTTCTGCGGGGTTTGGTGGCAGTGGGGTGACTGCTTGACGTAGGAGGGAGTGCCGCGTTCACTCGCTGCCTGCAGGCTGCCTCGTGGGCTGGGGAACAGTGGAAGCCACTGACTTACCGCAGACGCAGTGTCCGCCTGCCCCTGATACCTTCTCCTTTCTTCTTGTCACTTCAGGGCTCCGTGGGATTGAAGGGAGAACGTGGTCCCCCTGGAGGAGCTGGCTTTCCCGGCAGCCGTGGTGACATCGGCCCCCCCGGGCCTCCCGGATTTGGTCCTATTGGTCCTGTTGGTGACAAAGGACAACCAGGTTTTCCTGGAAACCCTGGGTCCCCTGGCCTGCCAGGTGAGGCTTGAGACCCTGAGACCCTTGAGGCGCAGAGACCCCGGGGTTGGGGAGACAGGCACATACCTGGCTTTAGTTCCTCCGGAGAGAGGGGTGTGACCTGGGCGAGCCCCTGTCGGCTCTCTTCACTTCTTCACATATGGAACGGGCCAGGCAAGGCGTCGGTCCTGAAAGAACCTGAAGTCATGCGTGGGTTTCCTTATAAATAAGTGTAGCTATGTAAAGCTGAAGCCAGCTTTGATGTGGAGGTTACCAAAACACAGGCCAGTTTTTCTCTTCATTTCTGTTCATTTTGGCTTCTGTGTGACCCAACGTGGTCCCGACTCTGCACCAACAGGCGGTGCCTGGTGCCTGGTGCCTCAGCAGCCCCGGGTCCTGGTTGTGTTTAACTCTGTTCGTTTCGGCCGTCAGCTGACTGTTTTTTGAGTGGTTAACATAAGCACAATGCTAGGTGTTGGCAAGAGCGTGGAAGGACAGCCCTGGCCCTGCCCTGTGCTCCCCGACCTGGGGTTGGTCAGAGAACCCACAGCAGGGACTCCATGTGTCTTCCCATGTCATCCTCTGCTCTCCATGACCAAGACCTGGCTTCTCTCGGAGCCTGGGGAAAGGGGTGCTCAGCCTCTCAGGGATGGGCACTCAGTGATGTGTTAGCTCACTGTGATTCCAGTCGACAGACACGCACCCCTTCCCTAGCCAGTCCTGGAACGAGAAGGGCAGCGCTGGCCTGGCTCGTGCACGGAGGAGGCAGGACGGTGCTTTACTAGGACGCTTTTAACAAGTTGCAAAGGTTGATGAAGGACTCAGGGTGATTGAAACTGTGTGACTAGTAAGCTTTGAACAACGTGGTAACAAGCTACTGGGTGATGGAAGTCCCCAAGGAGGACAGCGTGGGAGCCACGGTTCTGTGACCTTCTTACCCACACATCTGCCGAGTCTGCCCCTAGCCACAGAGTTAGCCCAGGTTGCATCAACTCCTGTCCCCACGAGGGCCGCAGGCTTCCAGCACGGCACCTTGATGGGGTCTGGAGGTACAGGCGGAGCCCCTGTCCCTCCATGCTCGCTCGCCGGTGGCTGGACACTCAGCGCCTCCTGGGCTCTGTCAGGATTTCCACTTTGGTCTTTGTTAAGTGAGCATCCCAGAGAAGTCTCTCCCAACTCCAGTACTCGGGTGACCAGGAAGACCCCAGGGAGCCAGGCAGAGAGACCTGCAGTCTCATCTCCTGCTCTTTTCTCATGATTCTGAGCCCAGCAAATCCTGTGTGCTTCGGGCTTGTGGCACTACCAACTTCCGCAGCTGCACACAGGAGCTAGACTTTCTTTTTGACCAGGAACAAACCCTGGAGGAATCAGACGAGGTGCTTATTTGTTTATGCAGTGTGGTGGGAAGAGCTTCCTGAAGGGGGGCGTCCAGTGTGCTGGGCAGTTGTCTGCATGCTGGAATGTTCCTCGCCATCTAGATCCTGTCAGGGTCTGGATTAGAAACTGGCTCTGATCCCCCAGGGACAAGTTTATTTGGTGATCATCAAAGCCTGACCCCTGAGGTAGCACCGGTAGCAACTTTGTGCTGAGGCTGGTCACCTCCCAGTCTGTAGCCAGACATGCTGGCCATTCCTGGACACTCACTTACCTGGAACTCCTGTACGGAAGGGGTCCCTGCACGTGCCTGGAGGGGATCCCAGGTTTCTTTTCTGACAGCCCATCAACCCCCAGTAGATCTCCTGGCCCCAGCATGGCTGTACCCAAGGCTGCAGGTAGAGAGGGTCCCTGTGCTGTCCTGGCGGCTCAGAACCCCCACCGCACAGCTGCAGGCGGAGGATGTTGCACCACCACCCACTTGCCATGCTGTGTAGACAAGCGGCCCTCAAGTGTGCAGAATTGAGGCCAACCTGAAAGCGACTCGCTGGGTCTGTCTGAGGAAGAGCAAGAACAGGAAATATTTTGTTTTTTGAGACAAACTAATTAAGAAAGGACCCAGGGCCATCTCACTTTTTGTCTGTAGATGGTGCGACGTTTTCTGTAGGCTGTGATTTGGAACTCTTAAGGAATTCCTGTCGAGCACATCTTGGTCATTTGAAATACGCTCTGGGGAGAGAAGCCGTTCTCTGAAAGACTCTGGAAGCCTAGAGGGAAGGGGTGGGGGAACGCGTGCCCCTGGGGGTGTGCCCGGTGCCGTGCACCTGAGCTGGGTGTGGCGGCCACCAGTCACGTCTCACTGCTTTGTTCTTTCTTCTCAGGTCCCAAGGGTGAAGCAGGCAAGGTGGTCCCCTTACCTGGACCCCCAGGAGCAGAGGGCCTCCCAGGGTCCCCGGGATTCCCAGGGCCCCAAGGTACGGTTCCAGTTCCAGCTCACCTGGTCACGGTGGGGGCTCCCTCATGTTCCTCTCATGCTGACCCCGGGCCTACCTCCCTGCAGGTGACCGAGGCTTCCCTGGAACCCCTGGACGGCCAGGCCTCCCAGGAGAGAAGGGCTCTGTAGGCCAGCCGGGGATTGGATTTCCTGGGCCTCCCGGCCCCAAAGGTAAAGTGCCATGAGCCCCAGTGGGGGGCCGTGCTCTGGCCACGGGCCCAGGCGGGCTGCGGGCCTCTTCTGTCCTCCGCTGGTCAGCAGCAGCGGGTGTGGTTTCTGCTCTCATCCTGGAGGAGGCTCTGGGGAGAGGAAGCAGCAGCCTCCAGGACACCAGAGTTGGTGCCTGATGCTGGTGGCTCTCATGGGTCCACACTGCTTTGAGGGTGGGGATCCCACCACTCAGGTGGGAAGTCCCCTCTGTGGAGGGTCTGCTTGGGAAGGAGGTGGCTCGGGAGAGGTGTGCTCCAGCCGGGCCCAGCTACCTGCTCTGGCCTCCAAGGGGGTCTCCCTGGGCAGTGCAGACGGACCGTCCGAGCCCTGCCCTTGTTGGCTTGAGTAGGGGGATGGCCTGGGGGGGGTGCAGGGAAATGTGGGGGCTTGTTCTCAGGGGTCCCCACAGGACTCTGGCTGAGAACTGGGAGGAGGGGAGTCCCACCTCGACTGCCGTTCTAGACAAGAGCTGCCCCTTTCCCCCAAGAGCCGCATGACACCGACCCCGCTCAGGGGCTCCCTCCTTCAGGGCTCACGGGCAGAAGACCCTGATGTCCCAGCAGATGCTGGCCCAGGGTGGCGCACGCCGGTAAACCCAGCTTCTTAGGAGCTAGAGGCAGGAGAATGATGCGTTGAGTCCACCCTTAGTGAGACTTAGTGAGACTGTCTTAAAAGACACAGAGAGAAAGAGGGAGAGGGTGCAGAGGGAGGGGGAGAGAGAGAGAGAGAATGAGAGCCAATGCTAAGGCCCCCTCCCCGCTCACGGAGGGCACTGAATCCCCTGTGAGCACCGCACAGTTGTTCACATGGGGGGGGGGGTCTTCTTAATCATAAGCCTTTCCCATGTGGAAGGAATTTCTTGGGACGTGGGTCCTGAGTGGGTGGTTAGGGCCCCTGGCCTTCAGGCCTGGTGTGCGACCAGTGCCCCAGCGAGTGTGGTAGACTTCACACTGCGCGTGGGGGCTCTAAGCCGGCGCTCTCCAAGCTGGGCGGCCACCCGTACCATGTAGCCAGTTGTAGAAAGGCCATGGGACCCTCTGCGGTGAGGCCCGACTGTTCCAGGGGCTGCAGTGTGGCTGCAGCCTCATCCGAGAGCCGTGTCTGCAGAGCTGCCCAAGCTGTAGTGAGGCCGAGGAATGGGGCTCTTGTTGAGACGCAGTCTGACGTGGTGGGTCTGGGCTGGAGCTGCCGGCTCTGCTCCCAGGGGGCCGTGGAGCTGTCCTCTGATGCCACACCTTGGGTCAGAGTGTCTTCAGGCCTCCGGGGGGTGCAGTGCCCAGTGGGCACTGTTTTGGACGAGTTGGACAGGAAAGATGAGAAAGAAGAGAGTAAGCAAAGGGACCGGAGGAGGGCGTGAGAAGGGGCAGGGGACGGGGCACGGGGCTGGAGGGTCCTGGCTGCGTGTCCTGCACCCCACGGCCAGGGTGGCCTCTCCTCCCTCTGAGAGCCACCTCCCAAGGCTTCATGGTCACGGCCAGCTCGTCAGCCCAGGACACCTGGGCCCCTGGGAAGGAAGTGAAGAGTGGGGAGAGGCGGGCGGCTGTAATGGTCTCCTTCACTTCGCAGGTGTCGATGGCTTACCTGGAGACGTGGGCACTCCCGGGAGTCCAGGTCGCCCAGGGTTTAATGGCTTACCTGGCAGCCCCGGTTTGCAGGGCCAGAAGGTGGGTACTGAGCATTCCCTGGGTACTGACTGGACACCCTGAACGTGTGTTATGAATCTCAGGACAATGGGGCCAGTGTGAGCTTTAGGGTTCGTGACAGAGTAGAGTGGAGAACAGCAGAGCCCGTGGCACACGGAGGGAGCTTTTTGAGGGAGATGGTTGTTTCGATTTCATGACATGTTTCAGTTTTATGACAGTTTCTCGCCTGTGCTATGCAGGTCTCAGGTGAAATGTGCTTCTTGTGGTGAGTGGCAGGTGAAGCTGTTTGGGAGCCACTGTGCTACAAGAAGCCACAGCCACCACAGAGGGCCACTGCAGGGTCCTCAGCCACACGCTGTGCACATTCTGGCCATGGTGGGAGGGTGCCCCGTGCCCGGCAGGACCACGAGCAGCAGCAGCCCTGGATTCTAGCCTTGAGGCCCAAGAGCACTTCCACCCCTAGTGGACAGCAGGAAGACCCCTTCCCAGGTTGCCACTGTCACCAGGGCAGGGCTGCTGTGACTTGAGGGTCTCCTTGCCCTCAGATGTCCTTCTGCTCCAGCTTGCCCAGGCCTGAAGTCCCCTCAGTAAGTGAAGTGACTGTGATCGTGTCCATTCCTGTTCAGAGCGTAAGAGACAAAGGAAGTTGCTGGAAGGCATTGGCACGAGGCAGGAGAAAGGGCCACGGTCGCTGGATAACCTATGCTGTGGTGGAGCCAGCTTGGGCCCATTCACGTTCTCTCGGGGACAGCAGGTGTGCAGAGGCAGCTGTGCCCCAGTGTGACCTGGGCCCTTCACCCTGGGAAACATCCAGCCCTGGGCGTCCCTGTTCTGAGCAGCAGTGACCAAGGAAGTTTGTGTGATTCGATGCAATTGGATTGAGCAACTAGTTGACTCTGGTGGCATGTGGATGGCCTCACAGACACGAGGCCCGTAACTTAATGGCTCTGGAAGGATTTGCTGATGACCTAAAATACCCAGCCTTTCCAGGAAGCGCTGGGATGGACTTCCTTCCCTTTGGGAAGCTTCCTCCCAGACACGGGCAGCTGCCAAGGCTCACTGATGCCCAAACACTCCTCTTCTGTAGGTTGTCCCTTGGGTGGCCCAGCTGGGCACTGTGGCTTAATGCCCACCTGCACCCTTATCTTGATTGCACACTCGGCCAACAAAGATACTTCCCTTATTTTCAATCACCTTGTCCAAGCCCTTGATTCATGCAGTCGTTCTGCATGTTGGTTTGCCATGAGAGCCTCCTTTGTATGAAAAACTGGGTAAGCGGACTCTGGACCCACTCTGGAAGTGGCCAGCTCTTAAGAAGGTGTCCATCCATCAGTCACAGATTGTCGTGGGTTTCGTTGGCTGCTCAGGGTCAGCTCTTCATCCCAGGTTCAAGAAGGCAGAGCCAAGGGGCTGAGAGGGCCAGGATACTGGTGCAGTGTCTGGATTGTCCTCCTTTGTTACCTGCACCCAGGGCTTGTGGGGAGGTTGGCAGGAAACAACTGCTGTGGGGAAGCTTTGCAGACGATGCAGAAGGGTAGAACAGATGTTGCTCTCACCCACATGTTGGCCGCATCAGCCAGGTTGACCTCTGCACTGCTGACTGGGTAAAGATATTGACGTTGCCGACTGATTTGCTTCTTCTGCTTTGGGGACTTTCAGGGAGAACCTGGCATTGGTCTGCCAGGACTCAAGGGACTTCCAGGTCTTCCCGGCATTCCTGGCACACCGGGGGAGAAAGGCAACATCGGAGGACCAGGCGTTCCTGGAGAACACGGGGCCATCGGCCCACCTGGGCTTCAAGGGATCAGAGGTAACTTGCACATGGGTCTGGACTATGTTGAGGACGGGGTCTGTTTCTCACCCCGGGGCACCTGTGCTGAATGGCTGATGGAGACCTAGGTTCTGAGTGGTGCTCGGGTGCGGGTGGCCTGCGTGTGGTATGGAACGTGTATGATCATCCCCTTCCAGGTGACCCCGGACCCCCTGGAGTACAAGGCCCAGCAGGACCCCCTGGAGCTCCCGGAATAGGCCCCCCTGGAGTTATGGGCCCGCCTGGAGGGCAGGGACCACCAGGGTCATCAGGTAAAGTGCCCTTCTCTTGACCGGTCCCTTCCCCAAGCACAATGGGCCGGGAGACGATGCAGACACGCAGCTGCCATTGAGGAGGGAGAAGCACAATTTCCGAAGTGAAGGGAAGAAGGGAAATTCTAGTTTGTGAAGTGGGTTTGGTCGTTTGCTTAAACACGGAGTCACAGATTTCTATTGTTTTCCTCCCCGTGAGATTGGTGTATGTGTCAAAGCTCTCTCAGTTGCATACTCCATGTAGTGTTTGCACAGCAGGCTTAAGAGGTTGCTGGAAACACAGTCCGAGCCTTTATAAGAATCCCCTTAGAGCATGGTGGTGCAGGGGAGTCGGGCAGAGCCTGCAGTGACACCTGTCCTGTGACCGTGACACTGGGGGCAGGAAGGGGTGGCCCCTTCTCTCGGGACATCGTTCATCTCTGGTGCATTCAGGGCCCCGAGGGTGGCTTGCTCTCGTGCTTCTTTCAGAAAGGAGGAGCCAGGGCTCCAAAGTGACCTTCGCTCTACCCATCTGCAGGTCCCCCTGGAGTGAAAGGCGAGAAAGGCTTCCCTGGATTCCCAGGCCTCGACATGCCCGGCCCTAAAGGAGACAAAGGCTCCCAAGGACTTCCCGGCCTCACAGGACAGTCAGGGCTGCCTGGCCTCCCCGGACAGCAGGGCACACCTGGAATTCCAGGGTTCCCAGGTGGGTGGCTTCTGCCTGGGTTGATGATGAGGGACGGTCTCCCCGCCTTTTCTCGTAGCTCATACTGTTTATGTTCCATGTGCAGAAATGTTCACACTCCTTCATTTTGGCCACAGGTCCCAAGGGAGAAATGGGTGTCATGGGGACCCCAGGACAGCCAGGCTCACCAGGACCTGCAGGTGCCCCAGGACTGCCTGGAGAAAAAGGTAGGGGAGCCAGCAGACCCCACACCCCGAGTGTCCTTCTTGAGCATCTTGGGGGTCAGGCCTTGCGGCACACTTTGTTGCATCCCGAGAGGCAGATGAAGAGGTACGGAGGGCGAAGCCAGGGCTGGAGGACCCCTCTCCTGGGAACTGAGTCTCAGGCACAGGGCCTTCCTTCAGGGTGCGCTGGGTCCTTCTGTGGGACGTGGTGGAGTCTTCAGACCTGAAGACTGGCTTCTTTTCAAGTCCTAATTTTTATTTAGGTTATTTGAAATTGTTCCACAATAATTTTCTTTAAAAAAGAAATTGACTATTAGTGTGAAACAAAACAAAAAGGGCATTTGCTGAGTAGGACGGGAAAATGCCTGTTCTGTACCTTGTTAGGAAGTGTGGGTGCTCTGAACAGGACTGGTAAAGACAAGTGATTATCTGAACTAATTAGCCAAGTGAAGTGTATTAGAAATATTAGCAAATGATGAAGTTCCGAAATGGGCTTTGTTCTTCGTTTCCCTGGGGTCAAACTCTTCCACGTGACTCCAGCACTGGCCACCTAATGTCCCTTTTGCATGGGTCCTTAATTTTTCCCAGCCTCATTGGTTGCTGCCAGGAGCTGGATGAACGGCGAACCTTATACGCACGTCCGTGAGGCAGGGCCAGGCCTCACCCGCTGCTTCTCTTTCCTCTGCAGGGGACCACGGCTTCCCAGGCTCCTCAGGACCCAGGGGGGACCCTGGCTTCAAAGGCGACAAAGGGGACGTTGGGCTCCCTGGAAAACCCGGGTCTATGGAGAAAGTGGACATGGGCAGCATGAAGGGACAGAAGGGAGACCAAGGAGAAAAAGGTGCGTGGGAGGAAAGCCTTTAACGCAAAGGTGGAGCCATGTGCCTAGCTGTGTGGGGGATATTTGGTTCTCCATAAACAAATCAAACCACCCTGTGTCCCTACAGTGGGCTCCTTCTACACAAATGTGGGTCTTAATCGTTTTTTCTGTGATGTGTAGGACAAATTGGACCCACTGGTGACAAAGGATCCCGAGGAGACCCTGGGACGCCAGGAGTGCCTGGGAAGGATGGGCAGGCTGGGCACCCCGGACAGCCAGGTAGGTGGAGCTCGGGCTTACCGTGTGGCGGACTGCTGCTGAGGAGGTACCCTGCCCTTCCCAACGAGGTTGACCTATTCGACTTTTCTCTGTTATTCCAGGACCTAAGGGTGACCCCGGCGTAAGTGGAACACCAGGGGCTCCAGGACTCCCTGGACCGAAAGGAGCGGTTGGTGGCATGGGCTTGCCAGGTAACCTGGGTGAAGACCCTGGGGACATGTGGGTGGGCAGCGGGAGAGTCTGCAGAGCGGCCCTGCTTCACCAGCGGGCGTCACCCCCTCAGTTCTGAACGCCCCTGCCTAGGGATGGGCATTTGGTTGACACCATGACCCTTGCCAAAAGACCCTCTCAGTGTAAGAGAGCAAAGCCCAGCCTGCCGCACTCTCCTGTGCGTCATTGAGAGTGACCTGGCTGCTGGGCTGGCGGCTCCCGGGAGACTCTGGCTCCCCACTCAGGCCACCAGCACTAGCATCTTGGCCTCCAGGTCCCGGGGGTTAGTCCACAGGTCCCTGGCTGCTCTGCCTTCACGCCTTCCCATAGGCGTCTGCTCCAGGGAGAGAACCAGAAAGAGCAGGGACACAGGGGGAGGCAGAGCACTGAGACCAGCAGGCTGCCCGGGTGCCTTGGAATGGGCAGGGAGAGGGCACCCATCTGCCCCTCTCTGCAGGGCTCCTGCCACCTCCTTCTGCCTGACAAGTGAGCTTGGTACCAACACACCTGACTTTATACTTCACGGCATCTCACAAGCCCTCTGATTTCTGGGTAATAAACATATAAACGTGGTTTTTTTGTGCCGTTGGTTAGTATTCTAAGCACTTAGCTCTCTGCATCAAATGACCCTCTTAGAAGGTGGAATTTCCTGGTTTGGCTCTGCGGTGACTCTGGGGTCACAGAGAGCTGGATCACTGGCGGGTTGATGACCTGGCTGACGTTTTTTGCCTCTTGCGGCTGCGGTGGGCACGAGCAGTTCTCATTCCCGTTGCCTCTGTGTGTGTTACAGGAACACCTGGGGAAAAGGGCGTGCCTGGCATCCCCGGCCCACAGGGCGTCCCCGGCTTGCCTGGAGAGAAAGGGGCCAAAGGAGAGAAGGGGCAGGCAGGTCTGCCCGGCGTTGGGATTCCTGGGCGGCCTGGCGACAAGGTAACTGGCCCCACATCTGCCCAGAGTGTTGGAGGGTTTTCATCCATAGTCTCGCAGCCAGGGCATCGCAGCCCATGGCACTTCCCAAGGAGCTGGAAGCCGCCACCCCTCCCGCCCACTGCCTCTCGCCCCCAGGAAGAATCTAGAAACTTGTTGAGAGGGGAGGGTGGCCAGTTCTCCCTTTCTTCAGAAGCAGACTTTGGTTCTTTGGTGAGGAGGGTGGAGATAAGACCTAGTGTGCACTCTTGTCCAGAGTGCCTACAGACGTGTGCCGGGGACAGGCGGGAAGTTAACAGGCCTCGTTCCACCCTGTAGGGAGACCAGGGAGCAGCAGGGTTCCCGGGAAGCCCTGGCGAGAAGGGCGAGAAGGGCAGCATCGGGATTCCGGGAATGCCGGGGTCTCCGGGCCCCAAGGGGTCTCCAGGGAGCGTTGGTTACCCAGGTAGGTGGCCGGCCTCCCCCTTAGCGGGTGGTGCACAGACACTGCACTCAGGCTCATGGGCCATTCTGGAATTTTGTGTTTTCCTCAGGAAGCCCTGGGTTGCCTGGAGAGAAGGGTGACAAAGGCCTTCCAGGACTGGACGGTGTCCCTGGTGTCAAAGGAGAAGCAGGTAGAGACCCCCCGGGACATACATGGGGAACATGGGGAACTGCAGCCGCAGGGAGTTCCCATCCCAGAGAGACTGGGCCCTGGGTGCTGCGGTGGGGCCGGGGGGTGGCCGTCCCACCCTCCGTTTTCCAGATGAGCATCAAATCTGGGGTCCTGCAGGGTCTTTCCAGGGGCTTACTCCTTGTAAGGCACCAGGACCAGTCTCCAAGCAGTTTCTTGGTGCTTTGGGCATCTTCTCCCCATTCTCACCTGTGCCTGAGGGTCAGGTCACATCTTGTGAGCAGCACAGAGGGTCCCCGCTAAAGGTCGTCAGAGTTGACCTCAGGGACTCCAAGTAAACCCAGGAGGGAGTGTCCTGGGGATGTCTGAAGGACAGTTGGCATGCAGACCAGGGTGCTGTGAGAGCTTCCTGAGGGACTGTGGAATTTCTCTAGGTCTTCCTGGGCAGCCTGGCCCCACAGGCCCAGCCGGACAGAAAGGGGAGCCAGGCAGTGACGGAATTCCAGGATCCGCAGGAGAGAAGGGCGAACCAGGTATCTCCGACCCCCACTCCCCTCCCGAGTGTGCATTGCCATAAGGAGACCTTTGTACCACACGGAGTGAGAGGAGCAGGTCACCAGCGGCGCCTCTGCTGTGTCCCTGTGACTGTTGAAGCCCTGACGTGGACTTGTGGGCAGGACCAGATGGGGAAGGGGGCCTTGTTCACAAATCTGCTCACCTGCCTGAAGTAGCAGGGCTTGGTGGGGAGGCTAGGAGGCAGGCACAGCCCTGGGCGCTTAGGCCTGGGCTCAGGTGGGATGCTCTCCTTCCCCGTCTCCCTGGCATTTGTCAGGATAAAACAGAACGGAAACAAAAGCAAGATTCCACTCTGCCCAGCCTCTTGTCCATTTGAGAAGCAGTGCGTGAGATGGGGCCCCTGAATCTGCTCCTGTCATTGATGGGAGGGCTGCAACTTGGACCCAGAACCAGCATCAGCTGTGACAGTGCAGTCATGTATGCTGTGTTGTGCGAGGGGGCAAACTCAGGACTGAAGCTAGTCACCCCCGCCAAGGGACGTGGGGAGGAACATGGAGGGGACTTGGGGCTGTCCCTGTTGGCGTCTTCTTAAGTTCTCCCCACCCCACTTAAGTCTCCCCTGGAGCTCGTTCTCTTGTTGCCTTCTCCCATGTCTGTTGCCCCGTGCCTCTGGGCTGTCCCACCTCCTGGGGAAGGCCAGTTTGTCCACGGGCAAGCCGCAGTAGGAAGGAAATGCTCTTATTTGCAGATCATTTCTGCCAAGCCTCAAGGGCTCTGAGCTGAAAGGTGCCTAGGAAAAGGTACTGAGTTACAAATACGGACTCGCGGCGTCTTGTGACCCTCACAGGAGGGTGTTCCCGCTCCCACCTTACCCTGAATCGTCCGCGCACACCACGGACGCCTCGTGCGTCAGGACAGCTGGCCTCCTTGTGCTGCCCCTGCGTCTGACTCTTCTGTCCTTATCCCACAGGTCTACCAGGAAGAGGGTTCCCCGGGTTTCCAGGGAGCAAAGGAGACAAAGGTGATATTTTCTCAGCATGCCCCTCCTGTCGGCCACCTCTGCCACTTCTGTGTCTCCTCAAGAGGAGACAGAAGACCTAAACAGACCAATAACTGGAACAATACAGAAGTGATAATAAAAAGCCTTCTAACAAAGGAAAGCCTAGGAATTTCCAAAATAGACCACAGACCATGTTTTAGGCCACAGAATCCAGGTAGATTCTCAGTTGAATTCTGCCCAGTCTTTATAAAAGAACTAATGCCAGTGCCTCTCAGATTATTCCATGAAATGGAAAGGGGTAGAAAACTTCCAAATTCATTCTACAAAGCCAGTATCACACTTACCAAAACTAGATAAGGACACATCCAAGAAAGAAAACTGCAGATCAAGGTAAATTTTAGATGCAAAAATCCTTAATAAAATATTATCAAGTAGTATTCAACATAGTAAGAAGGTGGTACATCATGATTGAGTTGGATTTATCATCTCAGGGATGCAAGGATGATTTGACATATGCAAATCAATAAATGTAATTAACCACACAAATAGGATCAAGGACAGAAATCACGTCGTCATCTCAATAGGTGCAGAGAAAGCCTTTGACAAAATTCAGCACCAATTCATGAAAAAAACCCAAACTGAAGAAAGTAAGGACAGAAGGAACTTGCCTAATGAAAGCTAAATATATGACAGAGACAAAGCCAACCTCATGGTAATGGGGGAAACTGAAAGCATGTCCTTTAAAATCTGAATAAGACAAGGACGTCCCTGTCACCTCTCCTATTCAAGGATAGTACTAGAGATTCTACCCAGAGCCGTTAGGCCAGAGGAGGAAATAAAGGGGGTAAAGCTAGGAAAGGAAGCAGTCCAATTATCATATCCAGATGATATGATCCTGTACTTAGAAGATCCAAAATGGTCCACCTGAAGATTACTAGAGCTAACAAATTCAGCAAGGAAGGAGATTACAAAGTCAACGCACAAAAATAAATAGTTTTCCTATACAGCAACAATGAATCTGCTAAGAAAGAGATCAAGAAAACAGCCCCATTCACAGTAGCCTAGAAAACATACCCAGGAATAAATCAAATCAAGCAGGAGGAAGACCTCAAACAGTGGAAGAAGCCCCTTTTCTTTAGTGTTTTGTAGCTATTTCATGAGAAGACAGAAAGACCTCCCGTGTTCATGGTTAGGCAGACATGATATTGTTAAATGGTCCTATTACTACAAGCAGTTTACTGAATCAACGCGATCTCCATTAAAATACCATTGCCATTCTTCACAGAAGTTAGAAAAAAGAAGTTCTAAAATTCAAAAGGCCCAGAATAGCCAAAGCACCCTGCCCCTGGGCCAGCCCAGCGTCACTTCGGCAGGGCAGTTGCTCACGGGTTCAGGTGCCTTTCTCAGAAGGCTCCCTCTGGAATGTGTGGAGGAGGTGGCCGGGCTCTCCCTCCCAGGCCAGGGCAGCAGCCTGGTTGTTACTTCTCCTCCCAGGCCTTGGGGAGCTCCCCACTGTGGGTGCCTGGAGGATGGGACGCGTTGTCCTGCCACCCCTGAGCCCTGAGTCTGTTCTGCTCCATTTCACCATCTCAAACTGTTTTGCTGTCTAGGTTCAAAGGGAGAAGTGGGTTTCCCTGGATTAGCTGGGAGTCCCGGAATTCCTGGACCCAAAGGCGAGCAAGGATTCATGGGCCCTCCGGGGCCCCAAGGACAGCCAGGCTTACCAGGCACTCCCGGCCGCCCCGTGGAGGGACCCAAAGGGGACCGAGGACCTCAGGGACAACCTGGCCTGCCAGGTAAGGGTGTTTCACCAGGTGTCAAAGCTGGGGGCTGGGACGGAATCCACACAAGGAAACTGGTGTGAAAGAAACAATCATGTTCTCAGTTGAGGTTTCCAGACATTTACCACATTCACTAGAACTAGAAGCTGTACTTTTGGCCTATTAGGTGGAAGTTTTTCTCCATCCTGTCAAGAAACTTCAGAAATTAGGGAGATGCAAGGGAGGAAATTGCTGGAGCGGACTTGGCACAGATACCCCCGGAGCTGGGTTTAGACCAGCAGATGCTCTAGCGCCCTCCACCTGACGCCAGCGTCGGTGGTGGTACCGGAGGTGCCCAGGGCACCTGGATCCCAGGGTGCCTGGTCAGGAGGTCTTGGCATTCATACGCATGCATCCCTCTTTCCTTCTGGGCCTGGCCTTTGTTTCTTAAGGGCTTATGTTGTTCATCTGGTGGGGTCATGATGAGGGACAGCTGGATGTCAGTGATGGGCGTCACAGCCCGGGGACAGGTACGTGGAATGCACCTCCCCACCTTAATCATGCCCCTTTCCTCTCCTATTAGGGCTTCCGGGACCCATGGGGCCTCCAGGGCTTCCTGGGCTTGACGGGCTGAAGGGTGACAAGGGAAATCCAGGATGGCCAGGAGCACCCGGCATTCCGGGGCCCAAGGGAGACCCAGGGTTCCAGGGCATGCCGGTGAGTGACGGGCGTGTCGTCTGCCGTCCTTGTTTTGTCTGTCTTTGAGAAAGAGCCTGTTCTGCTGGCAGAAAACCAGATGTCCTTGTGTGTGCTGTTGTGTGTATGTATATACAAACGAGTGGCCCTCCCTAGCCCCTAGTCAGTTCCTTCTCTTTATTGGCACCAGAACAGGAAACCAGCATCACATTTTTTACAATCTATAATAATAAGAAATGTAAGATCCATTGTATTTTTCAAATTGCAGTTTAGAACCTAAATCACCATCTATTGACACACTTCATGCACAAAACAAGCCAGTGTTGTTCTGGGAGTCACTGTTGTTTAACTTGAGTCTCCTGTGGTGCCTGGACACCAGTCGCTCCCACTCCAAGTAACGCACTGTCTTCGGTTGGACTCTCAGCTTGACCACATCAGGGACAAGGCACACGCTTGGCTGGGGTCCCAGGGAAGCCTTGGCGGGGACCCCTGCTCTCTGCCTGTCTCTTCTCTCCTCTGTCTCCGCTTCTCTGTGTGCTTGGGGAGAGGGAGTTGGAGTGGGAGGTCTGTGGAGCCGGCAGGGTCCTGCTGGGGCAGCCAGTTCTCCCTGTGGCTCCTCAGTGGAGGGCCATGTGAGAGACAAGGCACTTCCTCAGGGGAAAGGGCTGCCGTGTTACTGCGCAGTCAGTGAACTGAGAAGTGCTGTTAGCAGCTGTGCAGAGCAGGTGCGTGGAGCCGCAGGATCACTGTCACCTGCTGGTCCTCCTCTCTGTGCTCACACACCCATCGCACACCGCGTGTGAACAGGAATGTACTTTAGGTTCTTTATTGCTGTATTAGTTTTCCAGTGACACAGTATAGATAATTTGTCAAGCGTTGGGATATTCCTGCTTTTATTCCTCGGTAACATGGAAATATATTCCCTAGTCCTAGTGCCAACCAGTGTCTGCTCTTGGTATACGCAAGGATGTATAAATTTGTGTGTGTATTTATATAAATATATTTATGCACGCTCTATTATTACTATACTTTTTAAAATAAGGTAGATAAGCAAATCAATGTAAGAAATAATAGGGCTTTTTGTATGTTGTATTCATGCCTACAGAATGGAATAACTATATTGAAATAATAAGAAAATCATCTAATGATACTAAATATATTAATATCACTATATTGTAAAGGAAAGTAATTCTTCTCTGGTGTTTTAAAATTTTTTACCTAATTAGAATCAGGTTTCAGGTATGACATGGAGCTAACTCTGGAGAAGTCATGGCATTTGGGTGTTTAGGGGAATTTTCCTTTGAGGGTGGTCTAGTGTTGGGGATGGTTACGTTTCCCTGACAGGTGTCTGTGGAGTTCCAACTCTGTTCTTGGCATTGTGCTGGGGTGGGCTGCAGGGGTAAGACTTTCCCTGCTCCTGAGGAACTTGCCATGTGGATGGACAAGAGAAGGCAGGCCAGAACGGGGCAGATCATCACAGTTTCCACTGCCCGACGTGGGCACGCGGAGAGTTTCCATCATTCTTGTTGGATCATTTAAGAAAACATGAGCTGCATTGCTACTCCAATCCACGGTGTCGGCTTTCTGACGACCAGGTCACTGGAGCGACTTGTATGTGTCTGAGCAGTCCCCGCTGACGTTTTCTTTCTGTGTCTAGGGCATTGGCGGCTCTCCTGGACTCACAGGTTCCAAGGGTGATATGGGGCCTCCGGGAGTTCCAGGATTTCAAGGTACGACAGGACAGACTGCATGGCCTTACTGTTGAACAGATGCTGTTCGGAGGCCCCTATCCACAGGCCCTCGGTGTTGAGATGCTGCATAACAGGCAGCAGGATCTCTGGTTCTCTTCAGATTAGGAGTGGCCTTTCCATGCAGTGGCCCAATTTGATAATCCTGCAATGGCTGTATACACAGTCTGGTTTTCTCATTAAGAATAAGTGGCTCAGGTCGGGAATACAGCTCAGTTGGTAGAGTGCTTGCCTCGCATGCACAAGGCCCTAGGTTCAATCCCCAGCACCACCACCAAAAAAAAAAAAAAAAAAAAGGCTCATGTTCACCTCTGCTATTTGTATTTCAATAAGAAATCACTAATTGGGTCCACCCATTTGTTTATTAAGGTATTCAACAACAAGCATTCATTGGTGGCTCCTGGATTCCAGGCTCTGCCATTTTTACTGCTGAATGATAAATATGAAAGTTGAAAACAAGCTCTCAGCCTGCAGGTGTCCTGTGGTCTACTTGGGGCCATGTGTGAATCAGATTGTAACCGCGAGCAGTGTCACATGTCCCCTTCTGGTTGTGACCATGGGAAAAGTGTGGTTTCTGGTTTTAGAGGGACAAGTTCCATCGAATGCTTTAGCCAACAGGAATAATGCCCTTTTCTTCTTTGAGGACCTGTTTGGAAATGTGTTCATGGTGTGTACGTATATGTTTTCATGAATATGTGTCTGTGTGTGTGGTGTAAGTGTGCATGTGTGTGCGTACACACAGCACACACACGTGTGCACACATATATATGCGTGTGTGTTTGGGGAGTGTATGTGTGCATGTGTACACGTCTGTGTGTCATTGCAAGCCCTGTGTAAAGACAGTGTCCTCCTTCTGTCTAGGTCAAAAGGGTCTTCCTGGCCTCCAGGGGCTGAAGGGCGATCAGGGAGATCAAGGCGTCCCCGGCCCTAAAGGTAGGAGAGCGTGTTCACTCATGGGACCTCACTGATGATCTGGGAGATATAAAAACCCCCCAATGAGGGGGTTGGTCTTCATATGTGAAATGGTGACGGAAGCTCTTTGTAGCATGTCAGTGTCCCTGTATGACACCGTTTTCATGAGCAACTTGTCTGGAAAGTTGTACAGCCTCCGCCTGGTGGGGAGTCCAGAGGAGGGAGGAGGGACGGTTAAGACTAGAACAGGCTCCAGACTGAACACGTCCCAGGCTCCGAAGTCCTGTGAGCAGTCCTCTGGGCCCATGCAGAGTGCACACGTCCTGGCTGGGGGAAGGACCCTGCCTGGGAAAGGGCCTTGGCTGCCCTTCCCGTCGGGGGCCCGGGTGAAGCAGCTCCCGGAGACACTCTGCTGGGCAGCCCTATTCCTGGGCTCTGCTGAATTTTCAAAACCATGTTCAAGGGAGGAGAATGAGGAGTGAAGGGAGGAAGGAAGAGCAGGGGGAGAAGGTGGAGTGGGAGAGAACCGGGGTCTGGCTGAGGAAGAGGAGGCAGAGACAGACCTCACCTTCTGTCCTGTAGCTTCCGCATTCCCAGACCTGCAGTGCAGCAGCCTTGAGAATTGGGGGCAGTGGTTACGTGCCCAGCGAGGCAGATGGGGAGGATGGTGAGAAAATGTCCTAACAGCAGCCAAGGCTGAGGTCCTGGGGAGGACACGCTGTGCCTGGACGTGCAGGCCAGCTCTGGGTGGTTGCTGTGGGCATCCCAGAGTGGAGTGGAGAGTTTCCATGGGTGACCCCAGCGTCTTTTCCAGTCCCAAGAGGCTGGGGTTTTAGGGTAAACAGCATGTGCAGACTGAATACGTGTGGTGAGATCTGATGTCTTATGTCTTCGGTAAGACTTGACTTTGGAGAGATGTGGTCATCTGAACCGGACTCTCCTCCAGGGCCTGTTCCTGGCCCAGTATTAATGTGCAATTGATGGACTGTGTCTGATTCCCACAGGTCTCCCAGGCCCCCCTGGCCCTCCAGGTCCTTACGATATCATCAAGGGGGAGCCAGGACTCCCTGGTCCTGAGGGTCCGCCAGGTCTGAAAGGGCTCCAGGGCCCTCCGGGTCCCAAAGGGCAGCAAGGTGAGGCTCCTGGGTGGTGCAGCAGGGTGCGGGAGCTGGGGAGGCGGGCAGGGCTCCCCCTTCACTCAGGTGCCTCGGGTCAGAGCCTCTGGTGAGCATTAGGCAAACACATTTGAATACGACTGACTTCCCTCCATGTCTCTCAGAACCAAGGGAAGCTTCTGCGGGGACCTAAAAAAGCCAGAATAGAACACAGGAAAGCCAGGGCACACGGCCAATGGTCCAGGTTCAGGGAGAAGCTCGGCCAGGTGCACTAGCACCTCAGCCTCTCGGGAGAAGGCGGGGCGGCTGGCAGCCCCTGGAGTGTAGGGATTCTGCTCTCCAGGCAGCTCAGGATCTCTGTCCAGCTGGCAGGGGTGCTGCTGTGCCCGCTGCTCTGGGAAACCCTCACCTGGGGTCTGGCCAGGTATTGAGCTCACCCTACCAGGAAGCAGCTGGTAGGGGCGGGTGGAGAGTGGAGGCGCTCCAGGCAGCATCCATGAAGCTCAGTGTCAAGCTACCTGCGAATGAGCTGCCCACAAAAACAGCAAGCTGTCCAGGTGGGGACATCCGATGCCGTGACACTGAGGCCATCTCCCCACACGGCCTTTCCCACCATCTGCCATAGTCACAGCCAGAACCCAGGAGAACCCAGGGGCCGGTGGAGCACGCCCACTGCATGTCAGTGCGCTGGTGGCTCTCGCAGCCTGTGCTAGGCTCTGCAACACACAGCTGGGGGCTGACCAGGCAGCCCCTCTCGTCTGTAGAGGCTGAAAAAGACATTTAAGATGGGAAGAGTGATCACAAACTGAAATCCATTCCCATGCGTTTCTGAGCTTGTCAGGATGAACCCAGCGATGTGTGTGGCTGGAGAGCTCTAATAAAAAGGGCGGACCCAGCTTGCCGCCGCTGAGGACCACATCACAAATTCCTCTCTCTTGCTGCAGGTGTGGCCGGCTCGGTGGGCTTGCCTGGACCCCCAGGTGCTCCTGGCTTTGACGGTGCCCCTGGCCAGAAAGGAGAGACGGGACCTTTCGGGCCTCCTGGTAGGTTGCTGTGACCTCCCAACCTCCTCACCCACGACCTGTATCTTTTGGTTAGAAACTGTAGGCCCAGGCGTGCGGAAACCTGAAAATGAACCAAGAGGATTCCTTGAAAGGTGTCCGAGGAAGGTGTGTCTTGGAAATAGGCTCACAGAGGAGCTGAGCTGTGGTTCCTCTCTGTGCCGAGGCAGATGGGATCAGGCGTGCATTTTCCAGACGTGGTTGAAAGGTGGCCAAGGGTGGTGGCCCCACGTGGGGTCTTAAGAGAGAAGTGGGCTGAAGCTGGGCAGAGTCATTGGAGCCACGGGTGAGGGAAAGGAGAGTGAAAGATAATGACGCCAGCGTTGCCCAAAGGCCGCTATGGCCACCCCCTTCCTTGGGAAGCGGGGACTCAGGTGGCCACCCACGATGACAGTGGGCTAAGGCGAGGCTAACTGAACAAGGAGCTCACCAGCAGGGCGGTGACAGTCCTGCCTCTGGCAAAGCCACCCAGGGCATGGAAGGACCCGTGTCCGCGGGTCTTACTGCTCTGCGCTGCTCGCCCCATGAGGTTCCTTGGTTAGTGCTGTGTGACCTCCATCTGGCCGTGGGAAGCCCAGCACTCTCTAGGAACGGTGTGCACGAGTCCACCCGCTTGGGTTTATCTCCCACATCCGCCTCCGTGTGTTCCCTATTGCTTGAACTCGGTGTTCTGAGCAGTGCTCTGGGTCCAGTGCATGGCAGGGCTCCTTAAGCTGTCACCAGGGGGTGTGCAGGAAGGGAGGGGAGACCACCTGGAGGAGGTAGGTGCTTGTACTCAGTACCCTAAGTACTTTTCTGGGTACTTTTTTAGTAATGTGAAAAGGCAAGTTACCTAGTGGAAATAAAAAAAATATTAATAGCTCGTTTGAGATGATGGTTTTGAGAGTTTTCTGGAGAACCTAACTGTAACTAGAGGAAATAATTTGTCTTTGTATTATAGGTCCAAGAGGGTTTCCTGGCCCACCCGGCCCTGATGGATTGCCAGGATCCATGGGACCCCCAGGCACCCCATCCGTCGACCACGGCTTCCTCGTGACCAGGCACAGTCAGACAACAGATGACCCATCATGTCCTCCTGGGACCAAGATCCTTTACCACGGGTACTCCCTTCTCTACGTGCAGGGGAACGAGCGAGCCCACGGCCAGGATCTGGGTAAGCCGCCGTGGGTCTGCGTTCCCTTCAGTGCAATGTGGCAGCTGCCAGCCGGGATACTCACTGTCCCCACCCTGCTGCCCTGGTGAGGAGACCGCTGAGGGCTCCACCCGTCTCCCTCCATCCCGATAAGTGAACCGTCAGTTCACCACCCACTGAACTACTGACGGGAAGCGAGGACTATGAGGGCTGATGCTTTACACAGCTTTAGATCTCATCTTCCAGCCCCAAGAAGGGTGGAGGTCCCCCGGCGCACACCCAACAGCCTGCACCGGGTTCAACACGGCCCGTAGCTGCTGCGTGTCTAAAACGCATCCCTATGGTCCTGGCCGACATGCTCCACATCTTCTCTGCCTGGTCACTCTGTTAGTGTAGGTCAGCAGAGAGCTACACATCTGTCCTTGTCCTGTCTGCTGCCGACACCCTCCACCCATCACATCTTGATCGGCAGTCGGTTGGGGATAGAATCTAGAAGCAGCGCTGCAAGGGCCTCGCTGCCTGGTCTGCAGCCCCGTCCACTACGTGACGGTCTGTTGTCAGGATCCACATGTTCAGTTCCTTCTGGAATCCAGTTCTAGGGCAAGGCTTCTCTCCCCTGGAAACTGGGTTTGTTTCTCTTATAAAAAATGCCCTGCCTGATTCTTCACCGGTTCCCTTTTGCCTGATAATTTTAAACTTGATTTAATGCTCGTGGGTAGTAATACTGGGCTCTTAGCATCTCTACTCCCTGCTTTCTGATAACTGTTTCCATTAGAGTGGGGCTTTGATGAGTAGAGGTAGACAAGGATGTGAGAGACCCCTCTCTCCTGTCCAGGCACGGCCGGCAGCTGCCTGCGCAAGTTCAGCACGATGCCCTTCCTGTTCTGCAACATCAACAACGTGTGCAACTTCGCCTCCCGCAACGACTACTCCTACTGGCTGTCCACGCCGGAGCCCATGCCCATGTCCATGGCGCCCATCACTGGGGACAACATCCGGCCGTTTATCAGCAGGTGAGTCCAGCACGCGTGGGAGCAGATGTGTACTTGAGGAAGAAAACCTCTCGCAGTCTGGACTTCATTTTTGTCTTTTCATTTTCTCCCAAACCTTGCTGATCAGTCAGTTCATTGCGAGTCGGTGTACAGTTTTGATTTCCGAGTTTCATAATGGAAATCAGCCCCAAAATGTTTCATACAGAAGCAGTTGCTCTCTTTAAAGGTTATGGGCAGGCAGGGTGAGTTTTAAGACAGCATTTTAAGACCCCACCTCTGTGCTGGTGGCTGTCCCTCCTGGAGTGTGGGGACCTGGCTGAGTGCTTCTGCAAGTCTTGGGATGGTGACTTTCAATCTCTTTTTCTTTCTTTTTTTAATTATAACCTCCCTTAAAAGCCTTCGAAGACATTTAGAGAATCACTTTTGCTTCTATAAAGTTTTTAAAAAACTCAGTCATTTTTGATTGTGACCATCTCAGCCACACTTGAGTGGCAGTCCAGCGGGTCCAGCACTGGCACATTGTCACACACCCCTGACGACGTCCATCTGCACAGTCCTTGCTTGCCAGCCTGCGGCTCTTGCCCTCAGACACTGGCCCTGCCCCTCCCAGCCACGGCCCTCACCGACTTTCCCTCTGTAGGACTGGCTGTGCGAGGTGCCTTATGTGAGTGGGATGGCACCAGGCTTGTCCTTCTGTGACTGGCTGGTCCCTGAGCACAGTGCTCTAGGGCTCATTCATGTGGTAGCTGGTGTCAGAATCCCTCCCCTTTTTAAGGCCAAGTACTATTCCACTGTGGGTGCTTGCCCTTCGTTCATCCACCCATGGGCCAGGGGACGTCCAGGTTGTTTCCGCACCATGACTGTTGAGACTGAGAGCTCTAAACGTGGGCATGACAACACACATACAGAAGGACGACTGTGGAATCATGTGGTGGTTCCATTTTAAATTTCTTGAGAAACCCATCATCTTCCTCGGTGCTGTACTCTCACGTTCCCATCCACCGTGCTCAGGGGCTCCGGCTCCTGCACATCCCCACCTGCCCCTCCCATAGCGGCTGTCCCAGTGGGTGTCCCAGTGGGAGTGAGGAGGTTCCAGGAAGCTGGGATGCCACAGGCGTGGTGTTTATCTTATCTGCTCACAGGTTTGGGGTGTAGCTGAGCTTTGCACATAATCACTGCACAGATTTATTCTGTACATAAAAATGTATACAAGAGCGAGATCTTTTTTGCATGGTCCTCTTGATCCCACCAAGTCTTGCTTCTTTGGGGTGACATTGTAGCCATTGAGAGGGAGTGTGTTTGACGGAGTGACTTCCCAATTAAGTACTCCCCACACTAATGTCTAGACCAGGCTCCAGGTCCCCAGCAGCCAGCCCAGCAGAAGACAGGAAATTGAAATGGTCAGGACTGAAAGTTCACGATGGTCCTGACTTTGGCTCTTTCCATCTAATTGAAAGTCGATTGCGTCGCTGTACTCAGCTGTAACAGAAAAGTGGCAAATGAGGAGATCCGTTTGACTAAGAAGGAGTTCCATGTTGTACTTTACACATACATGATGGGGGCTAGGGAGAACGAGTCGGGGAGATTCTCTTGGGAACGTGAGCAGGAGACAGAGTGAAGCGCTCCTCGCTATGAGGAGAGCCGGGAGCCCTCAAGTGCCCCACGGTCAACGGGAAGGGGCGGGGAGCGGCGTGACCAGAGGTGCGTGCTGGCGGCCGGCTCCCCTCCTGGCACTTGACGAGCACCTCCCGTGTGCGGGAAGGGGGCTTGGTGGCAGGCAGCCCTGGAAGATGGATTATACCAGGAGGCTGCACCTCGAGGGACCTGGAGCCGAAAGGCTGTAGGAGGTCACAGCGCTGGGTCGCCTGGCACTGGACACCTCCTGAGGGCTTGCTTTGATTTTCTAACTATCAGAAAACTTATTTTATGGGACTTAAGCTGAATGTTGGCATCTTACTTCCCACATGGTGCTTCAGGGGTACACACAGTGCTTCCCACGTGGGCACCAGTGCCCCTCGGCGGTCCTGTCCCCACACCTGTCTTGCCCAGAACCGTGCCGGATGCCCTGGAAGGAAAACTAACTGCTCTCTTGGGTTTCTTTTTTAGCTTTCCTTGGACAACAGGTAGAAAACAATTATTCATTTGTGTGTCCTGTTTCCTGGGTAATGCTGACATTTGGTTGAAGCCATGGGCCTTGGCATACACTGACAAAATTCCAAAACGGGTCGAGAAGTGTGTCTTGGCACACCTTTCTCTTCCAGCAAGGGCCCTGGTTCTGTGAGCACAAGCAAGGTTCAAGGCTGCCTCAGTGTCTCAAGTCCACACTTCAGGGCTTCACGCCTCCCTGTTACCACAGAAATGCAGTCCAAAGGGGCCTCCGGTCAGGCCTCCAGCCACACCCTCCTGCGGGAGGCGGCCCCCCTCTCCCCATTGCTGAGCTGCAGGTTTCCTTGGTCACCTTAACTCAGGAGTTTCCAGCAATGTCTCAGGACCTGCAGGTTCTTCTGGGATCTCCCTGTGGGGAAGGTCTGAAACTCCTACTCAGGGGGATCCTTCAGCTGAGCAGCAGAGACGCCGCGGACACTCTAATCCTGAGGGCTTTCGCAGCACTGTCTCTGGCTTTCTGCAGACAAGAATCTTCATAAAGCTATGATTGTTCAGTCACGCAAGTGGAAGGACCCAGGGTTTCAGAGCCAGGGGAGCTGGGGTCTGGCCCCGGCTTTGACGCTAACTGTGGCCTTGGTTTCTCCATGAGTAACATGGGGCATGGGGACGGCTTGAATTCTAAGGGACTGACAGCTCTTTGAACCTGTGCCTGTGTTCCCTGGCCACCCTTCCAATGGCAGGACCACCCTCTCTGTGGCACCTGCAGCCCCCAGCACCCAGGCTGCCTGGAATGACAACTCTGTCCTCAGACCCTGCTGCTTCCTGTGTGTAGGAGGCAGGTGGACGCAGGTGGACAGCTCATTCAGGGACGTGTTTAACTGAAGCTTTAATTCATCTGCATTTGGGTGAATAAAGTAGAAAATCACACACTCAAGTGTTGATCAGATGGAGCTGATAATTTGGGGACACCAGTTCACATCTGTTCTCATGACAGTGTCCCAGCAGAACTCCTTCTGATCCTCACCATTCGCACTCATTTCCAGCAGGGCGGGTGCTCAGCGCACAGGAGGGCTTGACAGGCAGTTTGCCGCTGGTGTGTGTTGGGTGAAGATAGTCTCCCCCCGCCATCAGGGCCCTTCCTTGGTGGGTCCTGGTCAGAACACTGTGGGGTTTGAATTTAGTCTGGGGTACAGTCCAGCCACTGAACTTGAGCCAGCCACGGCCGGGTCCTGTCCTGGGGAGGAGTCAGCTCAGCTTCAGTGGACGCTGACAGCCTTGGACCCTGAACAGCCAAGACTAGAGGGCGGGAGCAGAACAGCTCTGCTGCTGGCCTCAGTCTGGCCAGGTCCCTGGAGGAGGCTCATGTGGCATCTGGCCACAAGTGCTGGAGCGCACACGGTATCTTCCTCGCCCTGTTCACCAAGTGTGCTTCTTGCATGAGAGGTTCTTCACAGCGTTAGCTCTTGTGTCCCAGAACTGGGGCTCCCCCTTTCTCCAAGCATTAGTTCTGTTTCCTGAGATAGCACCCACTGCAGAGAAGCTGGGAGCACCGAGCTGCACAACAGAGACATGGGAGCCTGCAGCCTGGCCCCCAGGACAGCTGCGGTTAGGACTTGGCCTTCGCCTTTCCCCTCCTAGCACAAGGAGTTAAATCACTTCTGGTTTTGAACTGAAGGTGTTAGTGCTAATGCTGGCTTTATATAGCCAGGAAGGCTCTGAGCCTCGGGGTAGTGGGCTCAAGGCCACCATGGAGTCAGCCTGTGAGTGAGAAGGTTGGGGAGGAGCCTGCGGGCAGACCCTGGGTGGAGGAGTGGACGGCCAGAGATGCATCTGAGCCTGCAGCCTGCTAAGAGCTCGCTCCCTTCCTTGCAGATGTGCCGTGTGCGAGGCACCAGCCATGGTGATGGCGGTGCATAGTCAGACCATTCAGATCCCGCAGTGCCCCAACGGGTGGTCGTCGCTGTGGATTGGCTATTCCTTCGTGATGGTGAGTGTTTGGGGAAGCTGCATCTCCAGGGAAGCATCCTCTCCTCTAGGCCTCGAAGTTCTCTGGACCATGCTGCTCAGGCATGTCCCCCCCATGGACCGTCCCCATCCAGAGTGTGCCCTGGAGCCTGGCCTGCAGGGCGTGGGACAGCCTGTCAGGCCCTCCTTGCTGGGGGAGCCGCTGCTCTGAGGAGGGATCTGGGATGAGCCTCCTCCTGCAGCACAGGAGCTCTGCAGCTCAGTGCCCAGACACCAGGAGCTGCTCCTCCAGAGGCCAAGCCCCGTCCAGGGACAGGGGAAGCCAGCTCCTGGGGACACGTGTTTTACTAATGTACACAGCTTGACATCAGAAAGTTGGGGATAGGAGGGAACATGGGTGCCCTGGCTGGCAGCCTGTGCCTGTTCCAGGTGTGGCAGCCACCCTAGGTGGGTGTGTAGGGCCTGTCCTGCAGTGAAGACCCCTCTCCTACCACCCAGCTGCCCTGGATGTTAAATGCCCCCAAGATCCATTTCCCTGAAAGGCCAACTGAAACAGGACACTCAGCGCCGCTCGAGGTGCTCACTGTAGCTTACTCTACTCCTCTGAGAAGCATTGATTCACGGTACGGGTCCCAGACCTGTGAGATCGGAGTTATCCGGGACTTGGCAGCTCCTCCCTGGCAAGGAATCCTCATGGCCCTCGTAAGGCTGGGTTCCACCCTGTGCCCTCAGGAAGGGCTGGGTTCCATCTTTGTCCTGCAGATGAACACTGCCCTTGTTTCTGATTGACCAAGAGGGGCTAGGTATCTTCTGCTGTAGATGATTCCTAGTGTGCGAGAAGCCGCCCAGAAGGTCATGTTTAAAGTTCCTGTGTGTGTCTTTAAATTTGATCATGATTTACAGGGTTGATTTACTGCATGCACTTTATGCATCCAGAGAATTTGCCAAACAACACCGATTAGCAGGCTGTTTTGGTCATTCTGAACGCAGCCGAACAATGCTTCTCGGTGTAGGCAGGTGCCCCCGGAAGGCAGAAGGCCAAAACACAGTCCGATAACTGTTATAATTGGAGTTATTTTTTCCTCTTTTAAGTTTTCTTTCTTTTGAAGAGAACGTGTGGATGATGAATCTTTACTGTACAATAAGGCGGGGAGCATCTCACATGGCAAGTCAGGATTGGTTCATACAGTCTGAGAGCACACCAGGTGCTTCAGCAGTAGTCACACATTTTTCCCATTTAGTGTCCCTAGTTGGAATAGGTGCTATTGTGTCAGGAGTGCTGCCTGTGTTTAAATTCTGATAAAGCCGGTTGGGCCTCTCCTACTTTGGTGGCAGCCACTGGCTGATTCCTGGCACTGCCGGGTGGTGGTGGTGTTTGTGGGCACAGAGTCGTGGGGAGCACTCGAGGCAGGCGCCCGTGGCTGTGCGCCAGGAGCACCCTGGCTCCTTCCTGGGATGGTGAGTCTCATGGGGACCCTCTGACCCGGCTCCCTTTGTTCCGCAGCACACCAGTGCTGGTGCTGAAGGTTCTGGCCAAGCCCTGGCGTCCCCCGGCTCCTGTCTGGAAGAGTTCAGAAGCGCACCGTTCATCGAGTGCCACGGCCGTGGGACTTGTAATTACTATGCAAACGCTTACAGCTTTTGGCTCGCCACCATAGAGAGAAGCGAGATGTTCAAGTGAGTTGGAATGCCTCTCTTCTGTCGGGCTCTGACCCCTCTGGCTTTCCTGTTCAGTCACCATGACCCTGACACCTTCCAGGGCCAAGGCTCGCAGGTGTGGAATGGTCAGGGGGTGCCTCTTCCCGTGCGGTGCTGAATGCTGGGCTCTGTTCTACCTGGGCAGGTGGCCCAGGTGATCGTCAAAGGCAAACCTGAGGTGACAGTTTAATTCTCCCACTCACTGAGGAGCTGTGAAGGGGAGAAGTCCTGTGCCACCTCTGTAGGTGAATGCTCTCAGTTGTGGCCGAAGCACCTGCGTCTTCACTCGGAGGGAGCAGGTTTAAAATGCCACCTGCGTGGCCCCGGATGCGAAGCCCTGGTGTTTGTCCCCAGGGTGTTTGCAGTGCTGGGCGCAGCCCACATCAGGAAAGCCCAGAGCGACTTTGAGCAGGTCTAGGCCTCTGCAAATAAAAATCGCCCAACTCAAAGGCAGCCCAACATTGATAAGGAAAATCTGGCACCCAGACCTCACCTTAAAGCAACCGTCTCGGTGGCTGCTGACCTGTTGGAGGGAACTTGGAGGCCGAGTTCCCTACAGGGCAGGGGCACGTGCGAATCCGCTGTCCATTCCTGAGCACCAGCTGGAGCCCCTTCTGGGGCGGAGGCAGGAGGCGTTTCTAACCCTCCTGCCCCCATGCTGCTTCTCGCCCCTGGAGACGGCCTGTCTTCACCTTTATAGAGAGTTATGTAGAACTCTGCTACCATCTGACTTTTTTCCATCTTAGATCATAAAAGGCAGAACATACTCTTTATTCTCTAAACACCAGAACAGCACCACGCACCTAACTGTAGCTGATTCGAGGCCTTTGGGCACCTGGGCACCTGACGTCAACTCCACAGAGACAGGGTGGCCTTGCACGGAAATGAGTGCTCTTCGCCTCCCAGATGTGGAGCTTCCGCTGAGGGGCTAATAGGGGTTAAAGGGATTTTATTTTTTTAAACTAGCAGCTTGGTAAAATGAACCAAGTCCCTTCTCAAATGAGGCAATATACCCTTAATATGAAAAATTATTTCAGGAGCACTAGGATTTGCATCCAGAGTTGCTAAAATAAGCAGGTTCAATTTCAGGATATGACATTCTTATATACGGCTGCTTTACTTTTAACAGAATTTGATTAGTACCAATTTTAAGTCAGATTTTATCTTTCTAATAATCAAAATAAGGTAGATTTTCTAGAATCACAAAGAATTTAGGCAATTACATGTTTTTCCCTCTCTTTGGCTTCAAATCCCACCATCTGCATGTAAACCCCTCAAGGTTATGGAAGTAATCTGAGGCCTCATGACACTCACTCCAGGTTTGTCACTTGTCACATTGTCCAACAAAGCTGGTTTGTTTCTTTAAAACTGGAATTTCTGGGATGGGGTCTCTGAGTGGGCTCACCACTGAGCTGTACCCACCTGTAACAACAATTTAATGAGCACCAACTGCAGGTGAACTGTTGAGGAATCACACCTCCTCCTTGCCCCCCGGGAGCTACTGAGGTGACAGAAGAACCAGGTGGCCTAGGGGCCATGTAGCTTTGACTTCAGCTGGGCCCCAACCTGCTGGTGCTCTTGGCTGGCCCCTGGGTGGCATGGACTGGATGTGCGTGTGACAACACCCGCAGTGCTCCATGTGTCCAGGAGCCACATGTGCCTGGCCCTGGCACCTACCTGCTGCTTGCAGGAGGACAGAGGTTGCTGTCATCAGATTGGGGCCGGATCCAGGTTCCAGTGTGTTTCTGTCCCTTAGAGACTGCTGAGCAGGGGTCTGAGGAACTTGGCCTGCATTTCTGGTGCACAGTGAGATGACGCCAGTGGTTTCCTCTTGCATTTCAGGAAGCCCACACCATCCACCTTGAAGGCAGGGGAGCTACGCACACACGTCAGCCGCTGCCAAGTTTGTATGAGAAGAACATAATGAAGCCTGACCCTCAGCTACCGTCACGACATGGTGCTACTCCTCCTCCTCCTCCTCCTCCTTTCTTTTTATTTTTAACAGCAACGAACCCTAGAAATATATCCTGTGTACCTCACTGTCCAATATGAAAACCATAAAGTGCCTTATAGGAATTCGCGTAACTAACACACCTGCTTCATTGGTCTCTATTGCTGAAGGAGAAAAGGACAAGGATAGGCTTTCCATAGTGGCATACCAATGGCACTTTTGATGAAATGAAATGTAAGTCCACCTGCAACCCAGTGCACTGATGTGTGAGGCGAGAACTCCATTGGAAACCAAAGGTGCTAGGGGTGTGCGGCGCCTCCGCGCTCTCCACTGCCCACGTTCATCCTGTGTTGTACCAGAGGACTGTCCCCCAGATCTGCCTGACTGTTTACCACTGTCCAGTGTTTCAAAATCCAGGTCCCTCGGTCTGTGCAAGTCATAGTAGTGTAAAGCCAGTTTCTTCAAACCTCCAAATGGAATTACGGACACAGTACCATCTCTTCCAACCCCCCAAACAGAACTCTGTCTCTGCTCTGTGTGGTACTATGCAGCTGCTTTTGCAGAAATTACAACTTTCCTGTGGAATAAAGATGGTCCAAAAGTAGTCAGAAGTGAAATATATATATATTTTAGTAATTTATATAGATGTCAGCAATTAGGCAGGTCAAGTTCTAGTGTAACTTCCACTGTTAAAATAAAGCTTACCTAGTTTCCTTCTTTTGAAGACTGTGCTGTCCTTTAATATAGATTTTTCAACAGTAGGATACCAAATGTGAAACATCAGCTTTCCTTGCACACTTCCAAACCAAAAATGATGTGTTGCCAAAACCAACCCAGGTTCATGGATATGGTGTCTATGACAATGAAAGATGTACCTTGAACTTATCGTTTTTGATTCTGTATTGAATATTTTCAGGGTTTTAAACACTAACCACAAACTGAATGACTTGACTTCAAAAGCAACAACATTCAAGGCCTTCATTCCATTAGCCTTCCTCACTCTGCATCCTGGCTTGCAAGCAGCTCTGTTGAACCCGAGTGTCAGTATTCCTACACAGGAGCACACGCGGGCCACCACCGTGGCTGCTCACGAGCGCTGTCCACAGACTCCACCAGGGGAACAGATGGATTGCAGGAGGGCACATTGGGACCTATGCTTGAAATGACATTTCACTCAAAGTCTCCAAAACGTTTTCAAGATTACTAAGGCCTTTCATGTAATTCCTTTAAATGTGTATTTCATAAGAATTCAAATTTGTAATAAAACTATTTGTATAAAAATTAAGCTCTTATGAATTTGTTGCTAGGATGACCCCAAGAGCATTAAAAGTTACTGCACAAGCCACTAATAAACTTGTAAGCGTTGCATACCTTAGATCATTTTTATTTTGCACTTCTTCCAAATGAGAATCCTAGACTGGGAGGGACTTACAGTGATGGCTGCAGAGAAGAAAGGCCTCCCGTCCTCCTCCCTGCCTCTGTCAGTGTCCCCCTGCTCCTTGTGTCTCTCACTGTCACCTGTCCCCAGCACTGCACACATAGTGAGGGCTCACCCCATCCAGGCACCTGCAGGACACAAAGTAAACCCAGATGAATAACACAAACACCAGTTGGTGAACGTGGATCCACTGGGGTTAGAGCAGAGTGTGGAGGGGAGGTGACAGAGCAGAGTGTGGAGGGGAGG